GCTCCAAATCCACCCCTCCAAGAATATTTTAAGGGAATCTTTTTATATCAATTCCCAAATGACAAAAGACAACTAATGGCAAATTAAAATGTCAGTTATAGGGGTTCCTCAGACCGGAATACACTTTCAAGCACCGTAGCAGCAGCTAACTCGCTCCCACTCCCAGCAGTTGGTTGCACATTTCAGATACATCTGGGGCCAGATTTGAGTTCCTAAAAGCCATTTTGCCCAAATGTAAGTAGAATTTGAGTTCAGCTGTGGTACCCTAGTGTCCTAAAATAGGTTCATGTCTCACTGTCTGTTTTTGTAAATTATGGGTGCTACGAGACCCAGATTCAGGATGTTTTCAATTACTACCAACACTGTTGCTAAGTGAATGTCTCTTTACCTCTGAAGAGGGGATAGATGATAGCTATATACAGACCAGGGTGTGATTTTATGGGTCTTTGTTGTAGACACACCGCTGGAGTTCTTATCTGTCTTCGTGTAAACTGATTATTGGATCATCCATTTCAGAGCGTTATTTGGTCTGGTTTTAGAGAACAGGAGTCTCTCTGGTCATGTTTGGGATGACTTCGTTGTTTCATGGGTCCATAGGAGCTGTTAGAAGAATGAGAAATGTTGAAATGGAACCTCATTGACACATTAGCAAAATTGGACGGCTATTAGACTCTCATATCAGTTGTTTTGTTTGTTTTGCTTTTGTTTGTTTTAGCAACCCCCAGGACTAGGGGGTCTAACTACAAGAAATTTTTCAAGTCACCATGGTTAGAAATATCTTGCATGTCTACTATGAATCCTGGGAAATTCAGAACAGTTTTCATATGGCATCTTTCCATCAAGAAATTAGGGTTGTTTTTTTCTTTCCTGTAAGAAAGTACACAATTCATTTATATAAAGTGACTTAAGGAGTTTGATGCAATGTGTACTTTTTGCTTATCAAAGATAATCTTTGGTGAACTCAGAGGTCTTCACTCTAACGAGGTCCAGAGGAAATGGTCCTTGTTTTCTGTTGATAACGTGGGCAAGGACATGCTTCCCAAACGGAAGATAGGAGGGTTGTCTTTCCTCTCTGAGGCTTTATGCTCCTCTGAGCTGGCCTTGACTTTGGTCAAAATTGTGTTCAGATTCCCAGAAAAGTACTTAGAAAAGATTTACTTTGTATTTCTTTATAAAATAGGAGAACTACATTAATTACATCTAGTATTTTGTTGAAGTGCACAGATAACCTCAGAAGACCTAGGATAAATAGATGCTGGAGAACAGATTAGACCAATCAGCTTCCCTCCATTTAGGGCAGGGATCAGCAATGTAGGAGGGACAGTGTCTACATGTGGGGTGTGACACATCAGCAGTTTCTCATGCCATTAGGAAGACTGAACCTTCTACACTGTTTGAGACAAACACCATTAGAGCAGGAACCCTTGGACTAGGCGTTATGAACCACTCTGTGGTCAAAGTATGGTTTCAAGAGGTCCCTGAAACCCCAGAAGCTGCATGTGAAGGTTTTTTAGTTCTGAGTTGTCATCTATTAAGTTCTTTCCCTGAGAGGGTGACGTCTTAAGACCAGAGGTGTAGTTTCTAGTTTAATTATTAGATGGAGTCATTTTGCAACCACTTCTGCCATTAGAATTTTTCTGCTCTTCTGCAATGGATTCCTTAACCTAGGTCAATAGGTACTTAACCTGGCTTTCATGGGCCCTGCAATGGATGTATTTCCCTGACATTGTCTGTGAAGTTTTGTGAGCATATGGGTTTTTTGTTTTGTTTTGTTTTGTGGGGAGAGTGTTCATAATGGCATTAAGTTCTCAAATCTCTATGACTTCCAAAGACTAAGAAAGAATCCACTAATTTAGAGACTAATCACTGTTCCCTCATTCGTCTTCACAGTCACGTGGCCTCTAGGTGCAGTTCATTATTACTTAGGAAGCCCATGCGCTAAATGACAACTCTTATTTTTATGTAAATTTGACATAGGATTGAGAGTCAGCTCAACTGTAAACTACTGTTTGGATTCCCAAGCTGGAGATTGTTGGATACCATTTGTATCATTTCTCCTTGGGCTGGTCTTTGCTGCTGTCTGTCTCAGCTCTGGTCTTTAGACCGTGATCACTGGACAATCTACCCATGAAAAATTTCAGCGGGATGTTCTTATCTTTGTAACTATAGTCTATCCTGAGCTGTAATTAGTTCTAAAGAAGATTTTCGTTTTCGTCTCTTTTTTCAGCCTGAGAGAAATTAGGCACCTTAGCCAGGAATTCTTTGGGAGATATTCCGGGTATGTTCTCCCCACGTTTCTGGGAGCTTATACCTTCATTCTTTTGTTGGTTGTTTTTGGTTGTCCTCTGTCTTCCCTTCAGCAAGATTTATACAAGTAGAGGAAGGTTGCTGAGGGATTAGGTGAGTGGGTGCTTGGGGGGACTCTGTTCCTGCCAAATGATCTTTCAAAAAAAGTATTGAGTTGTGTTTTTATTTTAATTTCTCCCTCATAGTGTAAATTCCTCATTGCAAAATGCTTTTTGGGGCTTTGCCTGGGCCCTGTGTGCCACGGCTGGGGATTCATCTTGGCCAGACACTGCCACATATTGAAGAGAGCCGTTTCCAGGAAAGCTCAGAGGGCTGTGGCTCCTAGAAATCTTTCCTTGATTGTATGAGCCAGGCCTCAACACTTTTGACCATCTGGAAAATTTTGGACCCGAACAGCAGTATCTGTCTCATACATATTTTTCTTTTCACTTCCTAAGGTTTTCTTAAAAATTTTTGTTCATTTGAGATATGTATTTATTACTATTTTATCTACAAGCTCCAAGAAGAAGTGTATGCTTGAGGGCTGCAAAGAAAATCATCAGAGAAAGAGTTGAGGTACCCTCTGTGGATACACATGGCTATTCTTTGGGCCGTTATGGTGCTCAAAAAACAGTTTTGGGATGACTAAATCTGGAAACTTTTTACTGACACATAGTATTGGTGACAAAGTGTTTCTTTGCAATTTTCAGGTCCTCTTGAACAAGCAGGGATTTCATCTCTCCTCTCTTCACTCTCTGTAGTGTGTGCTCTCTGTAGTGTGCATCTCTGTTTAGTTCATGCTGTGATTTGAATCTTGGCTCCTGCTCGGTTTCTGCAGCCTCTCTTGTTTACAGTGGCAATCCGTCTGTTTATTTCTAGATGTGGACAGCATCTCCAAAATGCTGTGTGGTGGAATCTGTACCACCAAGGAACATGTTATTTTGCTGTAGCTGTACTCCACATCTCTGTTCATTAGTACTCTGCTTTTAGTCCTACGCTTCGTCAATATAAAAATGATCCTAGCTGTGTTGCAGAAAGAGCTCACGACAGTTTGGGTCTTGCTCATGTTCTTTTGTTTGTTCATTTGTTCGTTTTTACTTATCTGTAAATTAGCTAAATCCCAGAACCTATTCATATATTCAGCCTATGTTAAACCTTTTAGGTAGCGTAAAGTTATGAATTTGCTGTGATAAACCCATCATTTAAAAAGTATCTACTCTATACTAAGCACAGAATCAAACATAAGACATATCTTTGCCTATTGAGTATTTATGGTCTATTTTGGAAAATAAGGTATGCACACTCAACAATTAAGGAACGAGATGGTATTATGTATTATAGTGCAAATTATTCATAGAATAAAGTACTTTCATGGCATTGAAAAGTAGAGAATTAAACATCCACTTGGCAGTTACTGAGTGCCTACCATGTGCTAAGGCATGCGTATTGAAAGTTAAGTAAACTTTAGTGCCTTACTAATGACCTGAGAATATACTGCAATAAGTGACACTGGTGTCGTAGGTGGGCCTTACAATAAAAGGTAGGGATATATGGAGATCAGAGTGGGCCAGCAGCCACTGAGAAGTTGTAGTCTTCCAGCTTTGAGTCCAGCTCTATCCCTGATTATTACATAGACTCAGGTCATAGATCTAGACCATTTAGTCCTCATAAGGATTATGGCTTACGGGTACTATTATTCCCAGCGTATCATGCAGTCTGTGTCTTTCCAGCAAAGGTCCTTTTTTGTCCTTTCCCTTCCTTATCACTTGATGTTGCTCTTTGGTGAGTTCAGCTTGTTTAAATACGTGATTCTCCGATCTTGCCTCACCCTGCTGTACAGAAAGCCGGTGTGAGACGTGCTTATATGAAATCATCTGTTCAGATTTCTTTATCCACCCTTTTGCTTTTTCAAGTCCACGTTGACCAACCTTGGCTCATGTGCTCCAGGAGGACGTTGAACACTCTGTGTCACAGGTGCTTTTTGATGATGTTAATGGTGACAGTGGTAACCTACAATAGTCCTTGATCCACTATCAAAACTGGCCACAATTTTCCGATCCAGGCTCATGGTTTTCTTCCCTGTTCTTTCCTTTTTTGGACCCGGGCTATATACAATCAGTTTTTATTCTGTGTGTTCTCTGTGCTTCATTTCTTTGGAAAACCCCTTCAAGCTAATGGCTGGGATGATGAAAGCACTGGCAGCTCCCCTTGGCAGCCCCTCTCCCTCAGCTTTCGGCACTTTTCTTTGGCAGAACTCACTTAACTTTATGGAGGTTGGAGCTTACCTGGAAGAGAAGAAAGTCCTTTCTCCGGTGATCCCGAGGGATGACCCGCCCCCGGGGGATTCTGTACTCCAATTTTCAGCTTAGTCATTTGACTTGAAGGATGAGGCAGTCCTGAGGGAAGATAACTTTTATTCTGCCTTTGCCAATTCTGAAAAAATTGTGTTCTACTATTACTAGGAGCTGAATCATGTTCTGATTGAGATTGGTGTGGGTTGAACCATATGATATAGTCATCTTTGTAGTAAAAAATAGTCAAATATTGGCAACATCATCTGGTTCAACCTAATAAATCTTATCCATGGCATCTGAACTAGCTTATAGCTTGTTTCTCTTAACGGTGAGCTGTGAAAAAGTATTCCAGATGTTATGCTAAGTGAATTTAATGGAAGCCAGTGCTAAGATTTCTCTCCTCTTTCTGTTGCTTCCTAGGTCACTCTGCACCTGAATCCCATCTCCTCAGTCCACATTCACCACAAGCCGGTCGTGTTCCTGCTCAACTCTCCACAGCCACTGGTCTGGCATCTGAAGACAGAGAGGCTTGCGATTGGAGTCTCCAGACTTTTCTTGGTAAGTGTTCAAAACCATCTCAAAGTGATCCTTAACACAAAGATACAATAACCCTAGGACTTTGCAAGGCTTTTCAAAAGGCTTATTTCATTGAAATAATACCCAAGTCCACAGTGTATTCAACTTGGTATATGCTCTTAGTGATATTTGGATGGCACAGAAAACAAACACCACTCGCATGTCTTCTGTGGATGGAGAGTTGGGTCTGGTTTGCACGTTGGAGCAGGGCTTGTGGTCATAGGCTGTGTGGCCTGAGCTTTGGTCTCGGCTCTGAGCCTTCCCTTGTGGCACCAGGAGCAATGTAAATATTGTAAATAGCCACTAGGTGTGTGGTCTCTGACCACAAAACAAATATACACAAACTCATTCTATTTGTATATAACACGGGCCTAATTTCTGATATGAGGATCTGTTTGTTGAGAAAGTGACACAGGGAGCTCCAAAATGAAAACATTTGTATTTTATAAAAAAGTTGGAACCCAGCTCTTGTGGAAAGATCCAAATATTACCTACTATTTGTAAATCATGTCCTTTTGAGTTTGCCAGAACATTCAAGTTTGCTAGTTGTGGAGAAATTGATGGGTTGTTTGGATGGAATTTTTGGGGTATGATATCATGTCTGATGATGAGCAACTCTGCACTTCACAGTGATAACTCACATTGTCTATTGCTCGAGCTGCACGCTCGTGTCCTTAAAGGCAGAGTTTAGGCTTTTCAACCTCTCTTGCCCACAGCATCCGGAACAAGAAGATGCCTCAGTTAATAGTCGTCCTCTTGCATGATGAATAAATTCTGCCTAGTTAATGACTCTTAATCGATATCTATAGTTTCTTGTCCCTTATATTTGAAGAGTTCTTTTAAAAACTCACGGTACCCAATGACTAAAGTAAGAATCCATAGTCAATGCAATTAATGAATAGATAAATAAATGAGTAAAAAGGCGAGAAGAGAGAGCTCCCCTTTGTAGTAGAATGCCAATCAAATGTAGAAGGGATGGTGGCATTTGAAAAATCATCATTTTGCAACCATCATAGTGAAAGTTGATTAAGGAAGAGTCATAATAGATGCTAAATCTAGCAGAGGAACAGAGGGAGTTTGAGGAACAGTATATTTAGATAGTCTCAAATTACTTACTAACAACAAAAGACAAACAGTGACTATATACAGTGGAGCTACCCAGCAATACCTTAACCGAGTGATCAAAATTAGCATCCCCAGTGAGGTGCAGATGGATGTTGTGTGCCTCTAAATGTGGTAGCCTGAGAAAGAACACAGCATCACTTATGCAGTGTTCTAGCCAAAAATGCTCATGGCCTGAATCTCATCATCAGGAAACATTGGACAAAACCATACTGAGTGACATTCTATAACATAACTGGCCCATGCTCTTCAAAAATTTGAGTCATGAAAGACAAGGGCTAAGGAGCCATTCCATATTAAAGGAGACTCAAGACACATGTGATCCTGAACTGGATCCTATTGGGTAGGGAGTGGGGCCGTTGCTATAAAGGACATCATGGGGACAATAGACGGAATTGGAATTGAACCTATAGATTAAAGTATTGCATCAATGTATTATTTCTTGAATTGTAAATGTACTGTATACAAGAGAATATCCTTCTTCTTAGGAAACATAATACACTTAAGTATTAAGGGATAAAGGTCCAAATAATTCAGAAAAAAAATATGAGTATAGATAGAATAATAAAGCAAATATGGCAAGACTGGTAAATCGAGTTAAAGGCTATACAGGAGTTCTTTATCTATGTTTGCAACTTTGCCATAAATTTGGATTAATTTCAAAAGAAAAATTTTTTAAACTTGGAAGTACATTTTACAAGGTAGCAGTTATTAGAAACTTAAATTGTAGCCTTTTCTGAGACTTGAAACTCTCATTACTTCTAAATTAAAAAGGCCAAAAGTCAGAATCAGTTGCTGTTCTTTTCCTCGTGCATTTATTGGGCTCTTAGTATATTCCAGGTATTGCACTCAGTGCTCCAATACCTCAGCTCATTCAGCTCTCACAATAACCCTGTGATGATGGGGCTACTTACCTCATCTTACAGATGTATTTACAGATGAGGAAGTAAGACTTAGAGAGGTTAACTAGTGACCCAAATCGTACTGCCAATTACTGGCAGAGCTGGGACTCAGACCCAGATAGGACTTAGTTTACAAGCTCTTATGCTAGACTGTCTCCCTTCATATTCATGATCATTGTCAATCTCCTGTAATTACGGGTTTTTGTGATAGTGAGTCTAATGGCCGTGATGGTAAAGTTGTAGGCACATTTAGCCCTTACAGTGCAGAGATGTACTGTTCAATCCTGTAGGCACTAGATATGTGTGGCTCTTTAAATTTAAATTAACTAAAATCAGAAATACAGTTCCTTAGGTGCATTAGCCACATTTCAGTTGTGCTCAGTAGCTACATGAGGCTAGTGGCTACCACATTGGACAGGTTACGGAGAAGTTATGAGCCAAGGCTTTACCTCCGCTGGTTTGAATTCAAGCAGTAAGCTGGGGCAAATTATTTAATTTCTCTGAGCCTGTTTCTCTTCAGTTGTAATATGGGAATAATAATAGTCCCCACATTGTGGGGTTGTTATTTGATTAAATGAGATTACATGTAAAACGTTTAGTAAACGGCCTGGTACTGATAACTCATAGGTATTACCTGCTATAACATTGTTGTTTGTTGTAAGTCATTGTAAAGAACACTTTTGGGAAGGATGTTGAATTTACGTTTCTAATTGTGAAATGTCTAGTTTGAAAAGAGTTCTTATTTCTCTGGGCCACATATATCACAGTCGTTCTGGTCACTTTCTGGATTCCTTCTTCAACTTACCACTCCATGGGTTTTAAGGGGAAGTATCTTACTCCTAGTTATTATTTATTTTCTTTAATTTGGTTTAAGATCTGTAAGAACTGCTTTTTGGCCATCAGTTTAAGATGTACTGACAATGAAAAAAAGGAGACAGTTTTAGTAAACAATTTAACATTAACCCTATTTGGAGTTAATCCCATGTAAGGAGATTGCAGATCAAGTGATGAATCTAAAATTACCAACATTGGGGAGGCAGCATTGGGAGAAGTCAAGGATTTAAATTCTGGGGCACCCGAACTCGGCTTTGTTGTTCCGCAGGCTTTCTTAGGGAAAATGGTTTTCTCTCATCTGTACATTTCTTCGTGGGCTGGGAGAGATGTTGGAAGATCTGTTGTTCTCAGATCAGTAGACAATGAATGAAGCAAGTTCTCTCACAAGCTGGGCAGCTCCCCCTAACAGAGTGTTCTGAAGTGAAGAAGGCGAGGCAAGCTCTTCCCTTGTTCTCTAGCCTGAAATGAATTTCGCGGTCTGCTCATCCACGTGATGCAGAGGGATCTGCTGCTGGATAGAAAACCAGCGGTGCATTCTTTTTATCCCTTTATTGTAGTTAAGAGTTAAAGTTTGGGGATAACTAAATTATTTTACATTAAGTGTTTCATCTAAACCCTTCAGAAGGCCCATGGAATCTTTGGAAACAGGCTCAGCCACTTCTATCAGTGTCTTCAAGGTTACCCAGAGAGCTTAGAGGAGAGGGTGGGGCTCTTGACTCTCAGTCTAAGATGTGTGTGTCCTTGCTTCCTCCCTGATATGCTGCTGAGCGATTTGCGTTACTGTCTTAGAGCTGTCTTAACTTTCTAGGTAGAGATTTAATACTTCAACAGTTGTTTCTTTTGTTTCTTTTTGTTTTTTTAAGTACGGTGGGGAGAAAAGTTCAAGTAATGGCATCTACTCATCTATCAGGGTGACCTTTTAATTTCAGTTGACAGGTCTCTGCATTATTATAACTGCCCAAATTTAAAAAAGGAAACCTTTCATAATTAGTTAGCAGGGCCTTGTGTTACTCAAAACGTCTCAGCCACCCACGAGGGTGACTAAAAACATTATACTTCATTACTGTCTAATAAAGGTATCTGGTTTTTCCTGTCAAGTCATTCCAGTCCTTCTCATGATTCTGCAGCACAGGCAGGAGGGGGCGTGTCAGGCAGGGAGAAAGTGGGGTTGAGTTTCCTCTGCAAGTACAGCTCCTTTATCTGGTTGTTCTGCTCTAGGAAATGGGAGTGGGGTGAAGATGATTGTTTTAGGCTGAGTGTCAAGTAGTGGACCTTTGAATATGAGTCACACACACACACACACACACATGCACGCACGCACAATGGAGCTGTTGCAGCTTTATAGTTTTTCTTTTGCAGGGTGTGTGGAATATTGGGTAGGTTAGAGTTGTCTCTCAGTGCAATCGGAAATAAAAATAATCTCACCCTCTCAGTCTGTCATGTTATAGCTAGAAGTAAAACTCTCATAGAAGAATCATCTAAGCTTATTTTTATTTATGTAGTTATTTTCCACACTGAAGAAAAATTAAGGTAGTTCAACTGGGCAATAGATGTCTGAACTTTCAACCTGAGTTTGCTAAAAACGATTGCAAAGAGCCACAATACTAAATTGTCTTTTAAACATGCTACAATTTGAATAGACATTTCTCCAAAGAAAAAACACAAATGGCCAATAAACACATGAAAAGATGCTCAATATCATTAGTCATTAGGAACTTCCAAATTTAAAACTGCAGTGAGATGCCACTTCATACCCACTAGGGTGTAATAAAAAGATAATAACAAGTGTTGTTGAAGATGTGGGGAAATTGCAACCCTCACATATTGCTGGTGGGAATGTAAAATGGTGCTTTGGAAAACAATTGGGCAGAACATATGTCCACAGAGAAACTTGTCCACAAATGTTCATAGCCATGTTATTCATACTAACCAAAGAGTGCAAAAAGCCCAGATGTCCATCAACTGATGAATGGATTTTTAAAAAATGGTATATCCATACAATGGAATATTATTTGGCCATTAAAAGGAATGAAGGACTGATATATACCACAACATGGACGAAGCTTGAAAACATTGTTAAATGAAAGAAGCCAGCCACAAAAGGCCACATATTGTATGATTCCA